TTCCCTCTCCTTCCTCTCCGTCGTTCTCGCGAGTACTCCGCCTCCCTTACTCTCGCACGTGCACCGACACATGCACACTCGCGTGTATACTCGTGTACTCCCTCTCCTCTCTCTCCTCCTTCGTTCGTTTCTCTCTTTCTCGAAACCGCTCTCCGCCGCTTCGTCGCTCGTGTTCACCGTTTCGTTAAAGCCAGTACACTTTTCTGATCCCTGTTTCGCCCGTGTACTTCGTTTTCGCGGTTCCCCTCCCTGTCCTTTCCGCGATCTTTCCTCTTCTGTCTCTCTTTGTCCGACTCTCGCGCTGGATCGCCGGGTCCTGCTCTCCCGTCCCGTGTTCGCCATCCACGGTTCGTTCCCGGTCCCCGTTGTCTCTTTTCGAGAAACGAGTTTCCTTCCGTCGCCTTTCCGTCCTCTCCTCCGACCGTTCTCTTCTTCATCTTCTGACCCGGCTGTTTTTGGTCCCCTTTGATCCCTTCTTCGGTCTTTTTGCACGCGGCAGCCGTTCTTTCTTTCTTCTTCTCGTTGTCCTTCTTCTTCTTCTTCTTCTCGTTGTCCTTCTTCTTCTTCTTCTTCTTCGTCATCGTCGTCGTCGTCGTCGTCGTCCTCTTCTTCTTCTGCGTCTTCTTCTTCCCGTCTCGCTTATCCTACCGAGATACCGATGATCATACGCTGGAAATTCCACGCGGACGAGCATCGGCCCGCAGATTCTTTTATGCCCTCTCGCAACTCGTCGCTTCTTGCCACGCGCTTATTATATTGTTTGATTTGTTCCGGCCGTCCCGGGAACCGCCGATCGCCTCGTTTTCGATCGTTTCGTCCGCCTGTTTGCCGAGCACCGGGCTCCGGGCCCGGCTTCTTGTTCCCCTCCCGCCCGCCGCCACGTCGCGCGCGGACCGAACGTTCGCGCGAATCGAATTTAAGTGACTCCGGAGGCCGCGCTCGGGTTGCCCGGTCACCTCGAGTATGTTCCGGGCGAATTGAATCGCGACGATCTCTCGCGTTTTATAGCGAATCCTCGTTTTTATAAATCCCGAGAGTTCCAAGTGTTCGACACTTTCGAAGGTTTCGAAAGGTAAACACCACCATACCCATTGCAAACTTTTGCAAACCTCAAGATCCCCGAGAATCCTGGAAATCTCAACAATCTTGGAATTCTTCAAACTCTAAAAGTTCAACAAAAAGCTTCACAATCAAAGACTCGAAACTCGATTGAAATTCTCGAACCACCCAACCTACAAACTTCTAGCCCCCGATCACAGTTCCCAAAATGATCCCATCCATCGGTACAATAAATCATCGCGAAACCTTCAATTCAGTACCATGCGCCCCTGAAGAATCTCGGAAACAATGCGAAATTCTTTCGCACGATCCATTCGAGAGCTAACGAGAACCATTATCGACTCCCCTTCTCGATTCTCGCCAGCATCCTCCGTCGTTCGATCCATCAACCATTCGCCGTGGAATATCAAAATCCCAGACCTTACCCAGACGACCGGCGCGGCGCGGCGGTTACCGAGCGTGAAACACGGCGAACGAACCTCGACGGCGCGACGCGACGTCCGTCGCCGCGCTGGGGGACAGGTGAAACGGGCGGTATCCCCCGTGAAGTTAGTTAACGGAGATTTTCCGCGGCGCGTATAGTCGGAAGCCGGCGAGTTTTTGCGGCCGGTGGCCGCGCGGCGTCCAACAAATCAATTCGACTTCCAACGGCGGAACAACGATCGGCCACGATGAACGACCATCGGCACTCGTTGCCGACGGTGGATCGTCGCTTTTTACCGGGCGAAGGGGGGCTCGCCGTTCCCCGGACATTTTTCTTTCCCCCGGTATATATCGAGCCACGCTGTTTCCTTATCCCACTCGCCCTCTCTTTCTCTCCTCCTCTTCGTTCCCCGGCCGCTCGTGGACCGTCCTTACGCGACCGGGTAAGAAACACGCAGCAGCAAAAACTTTTACCGGGAACTATGAAGCTATTCCTGCATGTTCGACAGCGTTCGTTAAGCGACGCAGCACGATCTGACCCTTTTAAGTAGCGGTAACCGGGAAGACAGCGAACGTAGGGGGGGCGAGCGGACGGGAAAAACGAGGGGGGAACGGGGGAAGCCCATCGCGTCCACGTTTTTTGCGGCGGATCGTAACGCAAGTGTAAATTTATAAGATGTCGCGGTGCCCGCGAAAGAATACGACCGCCGTCCGACAGCCAGCAGCGGCTTTTTCCGTTTCCGTCTGTGGCGCTCGTTGTAATTTGCTCCTAGCGGCTCGCGACTCGCGGATCACGCCGGAGACCTTGGTTTCTACGCGGACAGCTTCGATGATCGAGAGATTAAAATGTTTGCGAGGTGCAAATCGAATCGAGCGAACTTGATTTACGGTGCAACCTGTTGTATGGATAATTATTTATCTGTTCGTCGGTTCTCCTTCTTTCTTCGTCTTTTTTTGTTTTATTGTTTTATAGGGACTGGTCCGTTAAGTGTATTTTCTTTTGTGATTTAATGTTCGGATAATGTGTACCGTGAATAAATTGATGATTATAGTTGAAAAGCTGGCTTCACTTTTGAGATGAGACTCAGGTTTTCTGCTTTTCGTTTTGTTTCAGGTATGAGACTGAATTGGTCCCGAGAAGTTTCATTTCCGGATGGTTCGGTGAGTATACAAGGTGTCTTGGTAGTGGGTGGACGTTGCTTTTGGATCGGGTTGTACCTTTGTTTCTCGAGAATGTCGATTTCGATTGCCGCTGCGCGGACGGCGAGCGGGTTGATGGATCGCGTGTATGTTTAATGGAGAAACGAGGCTAGTTAGAGCATCGCGAGAGGAATTATCTTCCATCATAATAAACGTCAACGCGTCGGAGTAACGGCGGGGAATGGGATAAGGTGCACGCGGAATGCGTATCGTTGCGCCTCCGTTCGACGAGCGTGCTCCTCGGAATTAGCTTCCGAGTATCCAAGTTTTTGCGATAGAAGCCTATCCAAATTTAGACCGTTCGAACTTCTTCAAACCCAACGAAAAACAGAGAAGAATAGAACACAATATTCCGAACACTCGCGTCAAACGCAATCCGGTCAACACACGAATCTCTCAAACATCATCGCGTCCTCTAGATATTCCCAAAACCGAAACGCGCAGGAGAAACAACAGAATTCATTACAATATCCACGTTGCCCAAATAACCACACAAAACATTTAATCCCCCAAGAACTGTAAAAACAAAACAACCCCTGGTAAAAGGCATAAAACAAGCCACAACGAAAACGAAGAGAAGGAACCCGCAAAATGACCGCTGACGAACGACGAGGATACCGCCACGGATAAATAGACATCATCGCGGCCACGCAAATCGTCCGAAATCCGATTATCGCGGAATAGAATGCGACACGGCGTATCAATTCGATTCACGATTTAAGAGTGGGATATCCGCCGAAGAGGCGGGGGAGTCGTCAGAACGTGGCGGGCGCGCGGTAAGAGGACGGCCGCCGCGAGCGGGGTGGAGGCAGAAGAGAAGGCGTCAGCGTGTTCCCCCGGCCGTTTGACAGTAACGAGGAAGACGTCCGGGCGTCGTAAGCCCCCGCTGGAACTAATCCTCCGGAGAGCCAGTTAAGGTATTTGTATTTTAATTAGCTCCTCCTTTTCGATAGCCGTTTGTTCTGCCCACACTGCGCCCTCCGTTCGGCCGTGGCCCACGGAACGGCCTCGCCGCGCGTTCTTCCTCCAATCTTCGCTCTGCCCTTCGAATCGTTTAATCATAATCTAATAACCGGCTGACACAAAAAACTAACTCGATAAGTGCACGCCGTTAGCTTAGCGCGAGGGGTTCTCATGCGTCGGGACGGGCCCGGGTCAGACCCCTGCTCCGGCCCGCTCCGGCCCGAGCTGGCCCAGGGTTCTACGGTGTTCAACGGCCCTCCTCGCTGATCTACCAGCGAACGAGATCGATCAAGGTGTGCGTGGAACGCGCGTGCACCCCGACAGAGGGCCGGCCGCTAGTGGGCCGAAGATGGAAGGAGTCTCGAGCCGCTCGCTGGAAGGCCGTACACGTCTTCTCTCTCTTCCAGATATTATCTATTGCGGGTCTGTCTGTCAGCCGGGCCCCGAAAGTCGGCCCCGGGACCGATGCCGAGGCCGTGCCGCCACGGGATGAAGTGTCTTCTGCATAGTCAGGCCTCTTTTTATGCCGATGCCCCGGTTCGGCCATCTCGCTAATTCCGTCGTAGCACGCCAGGCACGCCAAACCGAAGCTTTCCGTGCGACTCCCGATCCCGGGTTTTGTTTTTCCCTTTGCCGTCGTCCCTCCTCTCGTTCGCTCCTTCCGCCTCTCGCTCTCTCCTTCCCTCCCTTGATCTACTTTAGTCCCTTTCGTTTCATTTTCATCGTCCATCGCTCGTGGTTCTTCGTGTTTTCTTGCTCTCCCGATGGTTTCTTTGCGCTCCGTAGCCTTTAACAATTATGAACGAGTGCACGCCGGTTGCCGAGGCTTTTTGTCCTAGGTGAGTCCCGGGTTCCACGAAGTACCGTGAAGAATTTTGGATTGTCTTCGAGGCGTTCTTCTCGCTCGAACCGATCTTATCGGCGAAGAACGGGGGTCTCGATTGGTTGCCGTTGATAACTCGGTGTGACTTTCTTGCTTCCGATAATAGACAGCGATTAATTTCGTTCTGTATCCTAGTCGACATTCGTTCACCTGCTGCTTTATGATGCCTTTCCCAGCCGTGTCTGAAGAAATCATTTTATCGTCGATAATTCATTAAAAGGGAAAGGAATTCTGCTTTCACTGTTATTTTATATCTACGCCGAACGTTGAATATCAACAGTGGTAACGCGATACGGGAGGAGAGTGAAACGATGCCATTATATTGATTAAATTGGATTCCAGATCTCCGCCGCGAGTCTCGCTCCACATCACAAGTCGAACGGTTCAAGTTTCTTTCGGAATGGAGTTTTTTTAAGGAGAGAATTCGGGGCTCGTGCGTCGAAAAAACGTATAGGTCCCGTATACCTATATCGTGCTTTCCATCTGTGTAGCAACATCTCAGAGCTACCATCGAACGTTGTACAGTACACAACACTAAACTCCTATGAAAATAATAAAACATCTCTATCCACGATTACACAGCACATCGTACAAAAATCGTATACAAAAATTGCGTAGAAAAAGGAACCATCGCAATATCCCCAGCGTCTCGCAGAAATCTCACCCCGTACGTTCCCAGCCAGCGTAGACCCGGGTTTCATAAACCTCACCGGAGATTTACCGTTTCCTATCGTTCTACGCCATTTCGTACCTTAGCGACGTCGACGTCGCTTCACAGTCACCGTTTCCCGCGCGCGCCGTCTACCCCTATCGATCTCGGGCCGACTTTTATCAGCGATATCACGACTTCATCAGCCGCGTCCGGGTGAGCGGCGCGTGTATACCGGCTAATATCCGAAGGACACACAGCGGCCATAGACGCGCATTGTCGATGGAACAAAGCCCTCGTAGTGGCCGTGCGCGCACACCGCTCCTATATTGGTCCGGCTCGGCTCGACTTGGCTTCTTTGCTTGCCATTCTTTCTCATAAAACTTCGTACCCTTCTTCGGTCTCTTCATATTGGCCGGCTACGTACATACCAATGGTCCGGCGAAGAGGGGCGAAAGAGGGGGACGCGGAGAGGGAGCGACGCGGAGAGTCATCTACCATTCGGTGAGTCGGGGGTGCACCAACACCAGCCAGCCTGTAAATCATCCCTCCCCTAACGAGGTGTCGTAAAACGCGATCTTATTAGCAAGCTTGCTTGCCTTTAAAATATGTCGACTTCGGAGGGTATCGGTGCGCGTCACGTGGGAGGCTTTGACAGCTTCTACTCTTCTTCGGCTCGCGGCCTCTCTCGTTTTTCGTGCGAGCCAACTTCCTCCGAGTGAAGATCGCCCTCCCCCCCTCCGACCGGCCGTCCCTCGCCCTCCGCCGGCGACCCGGCGTGTTTTGCCACGGCACGCGAATTGCCTTTCATTTTATGTGTAACGTTCGCCTCGATGATGCTGATTGAAATTTTCTTTGCTCGGCCACCGGGTGGGGGCTTTGTTCGCGTTTTCGGTGATTTAGGGTCGCGCGCGGATCGGACGTCGAGACGGTAACCGTCGGAGGCTCGAATCGTTAGCGAGCTGTCGATTTTATGGATCTGTGGCTGCCGCGGACGGAATGTGCGTGATGAAATGTTTAACGGGACATGAGCTTTTTATTCGGCTCGGGTATCGATTCGGTGCTTTTAATGGGTTACGTGAATTATTTCGTTCCGAGGCTTTTTACTTTTACTCCGCACATTTTAACATTCCCCTGTGGATATTGAAATTTTTACGAGTGCGGCTACGGTTTTAGTTTAGGTGCTACGTTAACGGAATCATCGTTTCCCTAACCACCCTCTTTAAATATGAAACAGAATGAGAAAGATATTTACTTCTCGATGTATCGACTCCAACGCGTTCTTCCCGGCGGAACACTGAGTCTCCAGTGTCGCAGTACTAAAACGATTTTCGATATCGATTCCCCCGCAGTGGACCAGCAGCGTCGATTCCGCGTTCTCGCGTTGCGCGTGCGTACGGCCACGTTAATTCCCGTTCGCGTTTCACGCGACGATTACGACACGCGTACCTTTTATTATCGGTGCATGCGACAGCAATCGGATCGGTGGTCGGCTACTTGCGATGCAGCTTGCATGCGAGCCACCTCCGGTCGCCGGCGACAAGCGTAGCGCGGGAAAGAAGGAGAGGAACAGCGGGGGAAGAGTGGAGAAGAGACAGGAAAGGAAAAAAGGAGCGGAGAGAGAAACGCACGGGGAATAATCAGCGCGCGGACAGGGCTGACGAATGGGACTCGGGCGCAGAAGACATTGTAAGATCGATAGATGGAATCGGTGTGTGTAATGTAAATTGACTCGCAGCCCGGGCCGCCGCGAGGAGACACCAGGGGAACGAAATGATTGTTGACAGAAACGCGGACGCCGAGATTTCGCTCCTCCTTCTCCGCCGCCGTCAACGGTAGCGCCGTCTCTTTCCTCTTTCGAGATGGCAGCGGCGACGGCGGCGGTTCGCGAAGTATCGAGGCAGTCGGCGAATACCTTCCGAAGAGTTATTCTTATTTATGTATTCTAATTTATCGGGGGGCCGCGTAAGGACCCCTCTTCTCATCTGCATGCAGCAAACAAGGGATAATGGCGGATATGTAACGCTCGGAGCTTACGTTTCATAGAATCGGCTCGGCCGTGTCCCTATCCGTTTATCAATCTCTCCCCGCTTCGAAAACCGTTCGGACCGGGCGTTGTTCCTCGTTAGCGTGCCCGACGGCTCGGTTTCAACTCTCGGACCGCCGCGGGTTTGGACCGGCACAATTACTCTCGCATTCTTCGCGCTATCGGCGACGATAACGTCGGCCACCCGCTGGAAAAATGAATGTTTTCCGCTCGTTTGGGAAGTAAACTGATAAATAATTGTATTGATTTTTCAATGGGTTTTGGGGAATCGAGGGTGAATTTTTCGCGATTTAGATTTGGATTGTTATTTAGTATATTAGACTGCCGGGGTATTTGTAGTTTACTGTGGTCCTCAAATCTCGAAGAGACGACCGTGGACACTGAAAACGCGTGAGGTATACTGTGCACCGTGTGGCGGTCACCCTGGTTGACCTCCGACGACCTTGAACGACCTCTGACACCGAGTGTACCG